CCCCCCCCCCCCCCACCCCGTACCTGTCGGAGTCGCGCCCCTTGAAATAGGCGTGCACGTACTCGGTGAAGGCGGTGGCCACGGGCAGCGCGTCCTGCGAGCCCAGCACCACCGGGCTGGGACCCCGCGACAGCCCTGGGGAGGGGGCAGAGGGGTCAGGGCAGGGCTGGGACCCCCCCGGAACCCTCCCCAAATCCCCCCCGGCACGCACCGAGAGCCGGCGGGGCCACGGAGAAGAAGCCGCGCTCGCCCAGGCTGGCGGGGGCCGAGTGAGAGGGGCCGCAGCTCCAGGAGGGAGAGGGGCTCAGCGAGCGCGACTGCGGAGGAAAGGCGGGATGGGGTGGGGGTCTGCAGCGCACACCCCTGAATCCTGCACCCCTGAATCCCGCATCCCTGAATCCTGCATCCCTGAATCCTGCACGCCTGAATTCCTGAATCCTGCACGCCTGAATTCCTGAATCCCGCATCCCTGAATCCCGCATCCCTGAATCCTGCATCCCTGAATTCCTGAATCCTGCATCCCTGAATTCCTGAATTCCGCATCCCTGAATTCTGCATCCCTGAATCCTGCACCCCTGAATTCCTGAATCCCGCATTCCTGAATCCCGCATTCCTGAATCCTGCATCCCTGAATCCTGCATCCCTCAATTCCTGAATCCTGCACCCCTGGAATTCCTGAATTCTGCATCCTTGAATTCCTGAATTCTGCGTCCGTGAATGGGGGACCATTCCCGCATGCCTGGGTACCCCTGTATCCCCAAAATCCTGCACCCCTGAATTCCCACATCCTATATCCCCGAATTCCCAAATCCTGCACCTCCTGAACTTCCAAACTCCGTATCCCTGCATCCCGCATCCCCCAAATTCCCACATCCCCCAAATTCCCACATCCCTGCACCCCCAAATCCCCACCCCCCTCGCCCCTTCCCCTCTCCATCACCCATCTCCCCCTTATCCCTCCCCAGGGAATCCTCTCCCAGCGCCCCCTTTCCCGCCGCTGCCATTCCCAAACTGGGAGCGCTGGGAAGCCGCGGCGTGGCTGCCCGCCCCTCCCGGGGGTCCCCGAGCCCCCAGCCCGAGGCTCCCCGTGTCCCCCCCATCCCGGGGTCCCCGCACACCCATCCCGGGGTCCCCGCGCCCCCCATCCCGGGGGTCCCCGCACACCCATCCCGGGGGTCCCCGCACCCCCAGCCCGAGGCTCCCCCTGTCCCCCCCATCCCGGGGTCCCCGCACACCCATCCCGGGGTCCCCGCACACCCATCCCGGGGGTCCCCGCACACCCATCCCGGGGGTCCCCGCACACCCATCCCGGGGGTCCCCGCCCCTCCCGGGGGTCCCCGCCCCCCCAGCCCGGGGGTCCCCGCACCAGGTCGCTGTTGCTGCCCGGCCCGGCCGGCGGCCGCTTGGAGCGGGAGCGGCGCGGGGGGGCCACGAGAGGAACGTCCCGGGGGGCAGCGCTGGGCCAGGAGGGGACACAATCTGGGGGGGGGCACGAACGGGGGGGTGAGGGGGGAGCCCCCCGATACGGCAGGACCCCCCCCCCCCGGGATCCAGGATCTCCCCTCGGGGATCCAGGACCCTCCCCAGGGATCCAGGACACAGTTCAGGGTAATGGGGGCAGATTTAGGGATGGGGGGGCAGGGTCACGGGAAATGGGGGGCAGAGTTTGGGGTTATGGGGGGCAGAGTTTGGGGTTATGGGGGGCAGATTTCGGGGTTATGGGGGGCAGATTTCGGGGTCATGTGGGGCAGCTCCCCACGCCACTCACCCGGCTCCGACTGCAAGGGGGGGGTCCCGGCCGTGCCCCCCTCGCTCAGCCTCGCCCCCGCCCCTTGGCAGCCCCACGGGGAGGGGCTGGAGGACTCCCCCCCGCTCGGGGGGGCCGGCGAGGAGGATGAGGAGGAGGCCGAGTTGGAGGAAGGACGCGTCAGGGGGGGCTGCTCCCCAGCGGGGCTGCGGGGTCTGCCCCAGGCCGGGGACTCCCCGAAGGGATCCGGCGAGGGGGCTTCTCTCGGGGCGCTGAGGCAGCGGCCGCGACCCCGGGGCGCGGCCCCCGCGTCCCCCCAGAGCCCCTCGGCTCCGGGGCCGCTGAAAACGGCGAAGTTGGGGGGCTCGGGGAGGCGGCCGGAGGGGCTGCGGGGCCGGGGGGCCCAGGAGCTGCTGGCGGGGGGCGGCTCCGCTTTGGGGCCGGGGCTCTGCGGCGTTCCCGGCTGCGGGGTCCAGGGCCGGGAGTCCGGGGAGGGTCCGGGCGCGGGGTGAGAGGGCGAGTCCAGCCCCGAGTCCTCCACGTTCTCCGGGGATGAGGAGGAGAAGGGTGACGAGGATGAGGTGAGGACGTAGGAGCGGGGGGCTGCGGGACAGCCCCGGTCAGAGCACGGCCCCCTCCCCACCGCCGTGGGGGTCCCATCCCGGCCCCCCAAATCCTCACCCGGGAATTCCTCTGCTTCCAACGCCGACTCCAGGGGAGGCCCGAAGAGAGCGGCCGAGGGCGGCGTGTCCTGGGGGGGCTTCCTGGGGCCGCTGGGACAGCGACAAAGAGGGGGGGGTGGCTCAGAGCCCACCCGGGACCCCCCCCAAGGGTGGGGGGTGACCACCCCATGGCACCCCAATCCCTGCCTGTCCCCTACCTGTGCAGCTGCGCCGCCGGGAGACCCCTCCCCGTGCTGTCACCTGCGGGGAGAGGGGACACTGCACTGCACCCCCGCTCCTCCCAAAAAAATGCGCCCCCCCAAATCTGCAGGACCCCCCAGGCCAGCCTCACCCGCGGCCGGTGTCCCCTCGGGCTCCGTGTCACCCGAGGCTGGCGTCAGGGATGGCGTGTGTCCTGCGGAGGGATGTCACCGTGAGGGGACACGGAGCCACCGGGTGGCTCGGGAAAGGTGGGGAGGCTGAAGGGGTCGGCAAGTGGACAGGGAATGGGGCTCAGAGGGGGTGGCACTGTCCCCAGGGGGGCTCAGGGAGGGTGGCACTGTCCCCAGGGGGGCTCAGGGAGGATGTGATGTCCCCAGGGATTTGGTCTAAGGAAGGGTGGCATTGTCCCTGAGGAATGGAGCTCAGGGAGGGTGGCACTGTCCTCAAGGAAAGGGGCTCAGGAATGATGTGATGTCCCCAAGGAGTGGCTTTCAAGAAGGGTGGCATTGTCCCCAAGGAATGAGGCTCAGGAATGATGTGATGTCCCCAAAGAAGGGGTCTCAGGGAGGACACGATGTCCCCAAGGAATGGAGCTCGGGATTGCTGTGATGTCCCCAAGGAATGAGGCTCAGGAAGGACACGGTGTCCCCAAGGAGCTCGGGAATGCTGTGATGTCCCCAAGCCTCGCTGCCACCTCCCCGGTGCCACTTACGTGACGCCTGCCTCCTGACGGTGCCCTGCAAGAGAAGGGGACAGGGATGAGGCGATCCCGGGAGTCCCGGGGGTCCCCGCGGCCCCCCCAGGCTCACCCCGACACCGGGGGCCAGGATGAGATTTCCCACGGTGGCCTTGAGCTGCTCCACGGCGGCCTCGGCGCTGCCGGGCGCTTCCCGCGGCTGCACCGGTTTGATGTGCACGTAAAATTTCCGCGGCTCGTCCTCGTCGTAGTCGGAATCGCTGGAGGAACACCCGGCATTCTCCGCCTCGCCTGAGCCCCCGTCAAGGAAATTCCCGCTTGGAATTCTCCTTGGATTCCCCCCCCCAAAAAATTCCCTTGGTTTTCCCGGCTCCGTGGTAAGGATACTGCGGGCGATGTCCGGGCGCACGGTGAATCCGTCCTCGTCCACCTCCGGGCAGCCCTGCGGGGACACGCTGGGACATTCCCGGTGCTCCCGGTTTGGGAACGGCAGCGCCGGGGTGGGGGGCGCCGGGACACTTACCAGCTCGTTATCCGGAGATTCCCTAGGGAATGACAGCCGCACGTCAGGCGGGGGAGAGGGGAAAGGGTGTGGGATGCAGGGATGGGGGAATTTGGGGATGCAGGAATTTGGGGATGCAAGGATGGGGGAATTCGGGGATGGGGGAATTCGGGGATGGGGGAATTCGGGGGTGGAGGG